AAAGAAAGAAAGAAAGAAAGAAAGAAAGAAAGAAAGAAAGAAAGAAAGAAAGAAAGAAAGAAAGAAAGAAAGAAAGAAAGAAAGAAAGAAAGAAAGAAAGAAAGAGAAAAAGAAAATTGGGGCTTAGCTTAAGACCCTGAACTAAGGTGATCTATGGTTAGATGCATGTGGAAGGAAGGAAAAAGACCCTTTCTAGCCATGTAGCTTTGGATATAAATTACCCAGACTGTTTGGGGTTAAGCGAGGGGAAGGAGTAATTTCCTTATTCCTTAAGAAGTTTATAAAAAACACATGTTCTTAATTTAGGGTCTACTTATGCTTCAAATTGTGTCTTTTTCTAAGGAGAGAGTCCATAGCTTTCCTTGGCTTATCAATGTTACTGAAAAGGTCATTCATCATTGAATTATAAGATAATCTTTCCCAGTCTTTTTATTATATGTGTATTCTTGAAAATACCTGGTGATGTCAAGGGGGAAAAACGTGTCATGCAAGCCATTTCAGGTATTAATTAACCAAAATTAACAAGGATTCAGTAATGAAAAGATGAATGGTTTTCTTTACTATTTCTAAATAACCCAAAGATAAAAGAAATTACAAGAAAAGTTTGAAAATAAGATGAATGATCATAATTACTGTTTATAAATTCAGATCATAGACAAAAGTACAGATTAAAAGTGTAATCAATAAACTTTCCATCTGTATAGAGCATTACTTTAAAAATGCTTTCAGTTATTCCTCCTTACTTTTTAGGAACAAAAGACACATAACTACCCCCACTTTACAGATAACAATTATGAGGTTTATTGTCCAAGGAAAAACATCTCCTAACCCTGCCAGTTTCCTGACTCCTAGGCCAAAGTTCTCCCCAGTGTTAACAAGCAGTAAAAGCTTCGTTCTTGGGGATTTATACAGTAAATCTAACAGAATAAAGGAAAAGCAGACTTTTAGCTCCTTTGTTTTCTCTCTGGAATGTTTATTCTGCTAAATCATTTGGGACCAGCTAATATGAGCAAGTAAAAGATTTGAAATGGTTATCTGCGGTTACCATCTCATAGACCATTATTAAATATGAACCAATGAAGCAAAAAAGGACTTATACATTTGATATCACTCCTCTCTACAGTAGGGACTGGAAGGGAGATCACATACTGTCCAATAACGAATTGCCTCAACTTCCGGAGAAGCTCCTTGAGAGCCAATGGGCAGCACCAAGAAAAAGAATTACAGGTAGAAGAAACCTTTTTCCTTCAGTTCAGACAGTCATTGAGCACCAGGAAAAGACAGTACCCCCAATCCCCCAATAAAGCCACTTCATGCTGCCTAAAGCTCTTCTCTGAAAATTTTAGGTCTGTGGAGACTTATTCACTAATTAGGGCGAAGGGGAAAACTGGAATAAAATGGGAGAGGAAGGCCTGAGCGGAGAACTACAGAACCCAGAGAACTGAATAGTGAAAAAAACGCGAATTAACTGACAGTATAAAGGCGCCAATCCCTAGCCGAGTGGAAGGCCTCGGGAGGTGGGTGGGACTAGGTTGCCAGGGCCCAGCAGCCCCCACGGGACACGCTGGCAGGGCTGGAACCGTGCGTTCCTTAGCAACCGCTGCGGCCCGGTCCACTCACCGCCCGAACCCCGCTCAGGTTATCCCCACCCCCACCGCGAGCGCCCTGCTCGCGGGAAGGGGTCCTCAAGTCATAACTGTACCTAATGGGTTTCCCGGGCCTGGGTTCCTCTTCTTCCTGAGCCTCCCTCTCAGCCCAGTCCGCCCAAATGTCGCTCTCAGGAGTGGAACGACAGTCTCCAAAACGCTTCGAGGGTACGCTAAAGAGGTGCGTCCGCCTTCAGTCCTGAATTCCAACCTCCCGGGCAGGGCCTCCCCCGCCTCCCCAGAAATCGCCCACGCCGCGCGCGCACACACACACACACACACACACACACACACCTCAACTCAGCCAAGGCAGGGGCTGACAAACTTCGTGTCCCGCAGGAAATATTTCTGTCCACAGTCCTGTCACTCAGAGGCAGGGGCGGGGCGAGCCACCCACACACCTCTAACCCCAGAGAGCGGGAGGGAAAAGAGGCGGGGCTCCGCGGAAGGGGGCGGGACCAGACCTCAGCATGCTCTTCGATTGGTTGGTCTCTCTGCCGCCTCTGCGCTGGTCCTGGACGCAAATGCGAGAGCCCTGTGGCCTCTCCTTTTTTTGGATAGGAATCCCAGGCTCTAATACCTGTCTCAAACTATGACTGTAGAAATTAAAAATAAGGGCTACGACTTGTTTTATAAACATTAAAATACAAAAATACGTTCTTTTGATTATTGAACCCTTCCCACACAGTACCCATCCAGGGTCACCGGGGAGCATCCCTCGATGGAAGTATGAACTGTCTTAGAAAATAATGTTGTTTGCCAATTCAAGCTTTTCACAGATTAATCAACATAGGAAATGTGATTCCTGAAACACGACCAACAAGGTTTGGAGGTGTATCCAGGTACCCGGTTTTCACATCTACAAAATGGGAAGAAATATTAGTTATAACTTGGAAAGCATTTGACAACATATAATCCTCACAACACCTAATGAGAGATATTATTATCCATAGCCTACAAATGATGAAATTGAGACTCAGAGATTAAATTTATTCAATCCTTCAACTAATGAAAAAGTGCCTCCAGTCATTTTTATATTTGTGGTATACTGAATTTAAAATTCTTTCAAAAAAATTGAGTATCATTTTTCTCTTGCTCAAGTATAAATTACGTATTCCGTTCCTCTAGGCCAGTTCATCATAGTAAAAAAAAAAAATGCCCTTAAGAGAGAAAATAGCATACAAAAGAACTGAGATGAGCATAAATAGAATAACTAGAAAGTACTCTGAAATCTCCTGGATATCAAGGACAGAAACTGAATTCAAGGTTAAATTTTATTTTCTCCCTTCCTAAATCATTTGCTAGTCTCAATTTCTCTTCCACAAATAAAGGTAGAGTAAATGAGATTATAGTAATACTCTTAACTAGATTGGAAGTGGGAAGAGGGGGAGGGTTTAAATAGTGAAATTTTTTTCATCTATATTAAACCAATACCCAGAATTGTTTATCTTGTCAGATACAGTATTTTTTTAACTTTTTTAATTGTTTATTTGACTTATTTTTTAAATATATAAATTCTAAAAATACATCATATCAGGACTGTTTGATAATGACGTGTTGTACATTCCAGTTCTGCCAACATTCCCATAATATTTCCCTGATAACAATGACAGGACTGGATGTGTGGGTGGGGCTATGGGGGCAAGAAAGAAAAAAAAACAAAAACAATACCTACAGACAAGTGCTTTGAGATTCAATTAAAAAGTCTACCATACTATAAAACCGTTAAAATAAAACATTCCAATTGCAAATTATTTCATACTCCGCTAAATTTTCAAATTCTTCTAAAAGCTTGCTAATTATGAATACCTCCTTACAAAATTTTTTGATTTGTATGAATCATGATCCCCATTATTTCTTTAATCTTTTAAAAAATATTTGGGTTTAGACTAAAATGAAAGAGCTATGATTATATATTAATAAGTACATTATATAAATAAATACTGTAAGATTAAATACAAGTGGTGAAGCATTTATTTGAATTCTTTTTCAATTGCATATTCAAATAAGTACAGCAAATGCATTGGTTTGAATATTCTTACATATATGAGATTATGCATTTAAATAAATGTATTATGTGCATGCAAATGGGTAACCATTGAAATAAACACAGCTGTATATTCCCCATATGTATAGCTCCAGATGTTTGAAGCATACATTCAAATTTCTGGAACTCTACTCCTTGGTATCTAGTTAAACATCCAGTAGAAAACACTGTTCTACCATATACATAGGAATAAATTTTAAAACTCTATTCACAGTGAGGAAATAAATTTAGAACAGTGAATAATGAGTCTGTAGCTGAATTTCTTATCTTGAACATGTCCATATGAAAGAGCTAGTCCTAGCAAGTTGTTCTGCAGACAGTTTACTGATCTATAAAATGGGCACTAGCCAACTTTATATGAATATGACTATTGCGAAGCAATCTTATAGCACCTTTCAAAATAATTAAATTCTAAAACACGATGTTTCCAATTAATTTTATTATATTTTGGGGGTGACATCGGTTAATAAAGTTATATAGGTTTCAAATGTACAATTCAATAATACATCATCTGTATATTGCATTGTGTGTTCACCACCCAAAGTCCAAACTTCCATCACCATAAATTTGACCCCTTTACCTTTATCTGCCTACCCCTCCCCTTTTCCCTCTAGGAAAAACTAAATTATTGTTATGTGTCTATGAGTTTCTGTTTGTTTGTTTTATTAGTTTTATATCCCATACACGAGTGAAATCTTATGGTCCTCAACGTTTTAGTAGGACAGTCTCATGTTATCCATGCCTCAATTATTTATTTTTCAATTTATGCTTCTACTTCAATACTTAGAAAATATATAATGTGAAATTCCTCCATAGACACAAATGTATATTAGAAGAAATTAAGAAAAACAAAATAACTAAATAAGAAATAAAATCCCTCTAGGAAAAAACTTTCTTAGATGAGTTTCTCTAGTATAGATTTGCAAGAGTTTCTCTTTGGTTTATAACTAGGAGCAGAATGACATATTTGTAGTGCACATGCACATTGTAAATGAAAATGTAATACCAAAATATTTTCCCAAGGTTTTATACTATTTTGCCCTCTTTAGGAGATGCCCTCCTTAGGAGTATTTATGAGATTGGAATGTATTGAGTTTTTCAGAAAATCAAATTTTAGCTTTGTTAGCTTTATCTAAAGTTCATTTTCTATTTCATTTATTTCTGCTCTTTATTATTTTTTCTAATTACTTATTTTTTATTTTTTATGTCAAAGCAAAAACTATGATCATTCATTTAAACTTTTATTCTTTAATAATGTAGGTATTTAAAGCTAGAAAATTACTTCTAAAGGCTGCATTAGTGATATTCCATAAATTTTGATATACTGGTTTTTAATTAACATTCATTTAGAAATATTTTTTAATATCCCTTTCTGTGAATTTTTTAATTATCATTGAGTTATTTATTTAGAACTGTATTGTTTAGTTTCCAGGTGTTGTGTTTCTAAATGTTTTATTGTTATTTACTTAAGTAATTTCATTGTTGTTATAAAACATACTCTGTAAGATTTCAAACTTTTGAAAATTATTGAGATTTATTTTATAGCCCAGCTTATGATTTATCTCAGTGATTGTTCCCAAACACTTAAAAGTACATATATTCTACAATGTTAGATGTAGTGTTCTATAATTCTAGAATTAATAATATATACCCTTAAATTATTGCTAAGAATCATCAATATTATATTGGTAATATTGCATATTCAACAGTGATTTCTCTATGCTTCTCCTCCACACTACCCCCAGTTTTCTCCCCAACTCAAGCATTCCAGAGCTAGAGTTTCACAGTTTCACATTTCTCACACAACACTCCACACTTTCCATTCATACATCACACTTCACAAATGTAAGAACCTTATAACAACATAATTCCATTTCTCTACCCAACCCATCTTTTGTATTGTTGTCATATGTTTCTCTTAAACACGTTGTAAAACCTCAACTTAAAATGTAAATTACTTTTTGATTCTTGGCAGAAGATGGTAGACTAGGTAAAAGCAGTGAAGCCGCCTTCCAGGTGAGCAGTGAAATTACAACCAAATTATAAAATAATCAATTTGCAGAATCACCTGAAATCCAACTGATTTTAATACCTACATATGATAATATAAAGGAGCCAAATCAAAGCTGGTAGGAGGGGCAAAGTTGCGAATGGGCTGGACCCGCACCTATGGGTGGTGGAGGATAAAAGGGAGGGAGCGTGAGGCTGCAGAGACTGCCGTGAAGGAGAGAGGGGTCCTGGCCTCATTTGGGGTACTCCAGCCCAAGGTCCCAACCCAAGGAAGAGGAGATTCCAATAACTCTGACTGTAGAAACCAGAGGGGATTCTAGCTATCTGGGTGAGACAGAAGGAGACTGAATCCCTGGATGTCCTTTGAAGGACCCACATACAGGCTTTCTGACCTGTGGACACTCACCCCAGTATGTCAGAGGCTCTCGTGGGATTCATACCTAGAAAGTCTGCATTACCTGGAGCCAGAACGAGGGTTGGACGGGCAGCTACCATTATGCCTTAGTCTGGCCCCCCTACCGGGCAATCTACTGACTGCACCAGCTTGACTGCACAGACCCCTCCCACAGAGCCATTAGGAAGCACTGGCCTGAGAAGATCAGCCTGCCCCCACCCAACCTGCAGATTGCCTAGGGCTTTTATTGCTGGATGGGTGCCCCACCCTGCACAATTCAGGGCCAAGCATTCGCAGCTGGAGGTTAGCACTGTGAGCCACACTTCTGAGATAGTTTCAGGCAGATCACTGCTGCCAACATAAACTTGTATTGCATCCAGGTATTGCAGGGAGCTGTGGGACTGCCCCAGATGGCAACTGGTCTCACTGTGACCTGTGACTATAGTGGGAACACCTGGGCACAGAAGTTGCAGCAAAACTGATGTTGTATTGGCCAGACGGCCCTTGTCTCCCTGATATCCCGCTTCACCCAAGCCACAAAGTGCCTGCAACACATTGACAGGCACCTTCCCGTGCTCTGCTTGGTTCTGGGGTTGCTCAGTCTGCACAGACAACAGACCTTGGCTAGCGCAATGAGCGCATTTTTGGGAAAACAGTGTGGTTATTCCACTGCTGCCTGTATGAGCTGCAATATCTCTTGAGAGGATCACAGGGGTCTGTATTGGCCTGACAGCCCTCAACTCCCTGAGCTCCTGTCCCATCCAATAAACAAAAGGCTCGCTGCACATTGATAGGCAGCTGCATCTGCTCTGGGGTGGCACATTCAGGCCCAA